CGTCAAAACAAGAACAGCTTCAGCCCAGAAATAAAGCAGCAATCAAGAAGCAAGGAAGCGCAATAAAAAAAAAGACTTTTACTTAACTGTAGTCTAGCTAAAACAAAACAAAAAACATCAACAAACAAATAAACAAAACCCCAAATGAAAGTACCTAACAGTTACTACTAAAAGATTAGCATTTAAACACGATAGAGTGCATGCCTCTGTTGGAAAGTAAGTCTCACGCGCTTTGCAATTAATTTACGCAATTTTTTTTCACCATTTGGCAACTCACCAACCTCCACCCCCTTCCCATCCCAAATCAGGTACTCTATGGTAGTACTTCCACTACCGACTAACACGGAAGGAGCCATTCCCCGGCTATGGGAAATCAAGTACAAACTGGAGCGATTCAAGAGCTCTCCTGAGGCGGCGATTGTTAATGGCGCTCGTTGGCTGACGTGCTGTCTACTTCCGGTTTCCCTCTTCCAGCGACTTTGGCGCAAGGTTGGTCAGTCAGGATGGATCAATAGCTTGATTCCCTAGCTCAGATAAAGGATGGCGCTCGTATCGAGGTCTAACGTTTACGAAAAGGTTGTTTGGGGACGTCTGAAGTTAATGTCCATCTGAAATAGGACAGCTCTCAAATGAGTAATTTTAGAACAACCCCTTTCTTTAATAATAATAATAAATGACATTTATATAGCGCTCAACCCCGAATAAAGTACACAGGCTCAGGGCACTTTACAATACAGCACAACATATAACAGTAACATAAAACGTTGTGTTCTAACTAAAGAAAAATAGTCCAAATTCATCTTATTAATTTAAAAACAGAAACGACTTCAGCTGACTTTTGAAAGAATCAAAAGATGTGATCTCTCTCAAAGTACTTGGAAAAGCATTCCAGATCTTGGGGGATTGGTATTCAAATGCCCTTTCACCCATTGTTTTAAGTTTCATAGATGGCAAAATAAATTTCTTTTTGTCAGCTGATGACCTTAAACTGCGAGTTGGAATGTACAGTCTTAACAGATTTGATAAATATGATGGTGCATTATCATTGAAACATTTGTGACATAGGGTAGCCAACTTGTAAGCAATCCTTTTCTCAACAGGAAGCCAATGCAAAGTTTGTAAAAGAGGTTTAGCAGAGTCTCGCTTTCTTTTCCGTAAAACTAAACGTGCAGCATTGTTTCGGCGAGTCTGAAGTCGTTTAACTTTCTCCAGTGATATTCCTGATAACAAGGAGTTACAATAATCGAGTTTTGATAAAATTAAGCTAGTTACTAGTAAAGCAGTATACTTAGAATTGATCAGATGACGTATTTTTACTAATTTTTCTTATTTTTAAATACATGCAGCTGATCAGATGATTTACCTTAGCCGACATTGACAAACTGGAATCAAAATAGATGCCGAGATTTTTAACTTTTCTTGAAAATACAATTTTGCATCACCAATTGTAATGTGATCGTGGTCAACCTCTTTAACAGACTTTGCATTGCCAGCCAGAATTACTTCTGTTTTACTATCATTCACCATCAATTTATTTTTGTTCATCCAGTTTTTCACTAAGGCAATACAATTTTTAGCAAGATGGACAAGTTC